AAAAAGTACAAAAAAACAATCGTAAGTACTCAAACAATAGTATGTACAATATATACAGGATAGCAGCATTAATATAATGACAGTATGAATAGCAGCATAATATAATGACAGTATGAATAGCAGCATAATATAATGACAGTGACGGTATGGAATAGGTTCAGTTGTTTTTGTGCTTATTTACTACGGTGATAGCTCTGGGAAAGAAGCTATGCCTGAATCTGTTTGTCCTGGTTTTATGTGACCTGTACCGTCGGCCTGGCGGTAATAGTTCAAACAGTTGGTTGCTGGGGTGAGAGTGGTCCTTGATGATATTGCCAGCTCTGCTGAGGTACCGAGAGTTTGCAGTGACCTCCAGGCTGGGCAGAGAGGAGCCAGTGATCTTCTGGGCTGTGTTGATGACCCTCTGCAGTACTTTCCTGTCTGCAGCTGAGCACCCTGCATACCATGTTGTTATGCTGTACGTTAGGATGCTCTCTATGGTGGCTCTGTAAAATGTCACCAGCAGCCTCTCCTCCAGGTTGTTCCTCCTGAGCACTCTCAGACAGTTCCAGACAGTAGATGCCCTTCATTCAGCCGTCTTCACCACTTGGAGAAATGTTCCCACTCACCTCATGGTTGCTTGCATCAAGCATGTCGCAATGAATTCTTGAAGTGATCAACAACAACAATGACTCATTATTAATGAGTTCATGTTTGGATCTTTAATTTCTATTTTCGGGGGATTCTGGGTTTTTTTTGGAGGTGTGGACTCTTCAAATCCAGGGTACACTGCTCATCTGTGGAAGAGCTGCAGAGAAAGCAGCATGCAGAAACCCACTGCAGTGTGTATAATGATAGAATGAGGTTGATGCTGAAGTTGCCGAGGTGGAGCAGTGCAAATGTTTGTTAGTGTTGGAGTGGCTCCCTGTCACGCCGAGGCACAGTTGTATGTGTGGGGTAAAGGACTCCAGAAACCTCTCTGCACTAACTTCAGTTTGGTTTTATTCAAGTTATGGAGCCACTGGTCTCCTAGCCTTTATGTTATTGTGTCACACTGTGGGATTTTTTAAAATTTTATTTTCTTCCTTATGTATTATGCATGTATATATTTTATTTGCTATGGACCTGTGTGTGTCTTTAAAAAGTGAAAGTAAACATCCTCAGCAGCATGTGGGCCGGTGCAGCTCTTTCTAATGTAAAGGTCTCAGTGAATAAACACACATTCATAATTCTTTATGATTCCTTGTATTCAAGGTCAGATTCTCAGATTTTCATTTCAATGAAAAATTATTTTTGATTCATCGCGTGCTATGATTTAGACAAACCTGAGATGGTTTTAGACAGGTTGGGTTGAATATAAGTGATGTGAGATTTCCAGCAGAGCTTATCAAACAGATTGATTGGACTGGTTTAAGGATCAATGGTCATTGGTGGAGTCAAACCTCTTAGATCACAGTGACTGAACATCATTTGAAAAGGAAACAGAAACCATCAAACCGATTAAACTGGAACCATAGCCAGTTGTCTTCCAGGGGCCAGAGCAGGCGACATTGAAGGAAATTTAAAACTGCTGGCTAAGGGTAAACATAAATTCAGTAAAATCATAATTCACATCGGCAGTAATGACACCCGGTTACGCCAATCGGAGGTCAATAAACTCAATATTGAATCGGTGTGCAACTTTGCCAAAACAATGTGGGACTCTGTAGTTTTCTCTGGTCCCCTCCCCAATCAGACCAGGAGTGACATGTTTAGCTGCATGTTCTCCTTAAATTGCTGGCTGTCTGAGTGGTGTCCCAGAAACGATGTGGGCTTCATAGATAATTGGCAAACCTTCTGGAGGAAACCTGGTCTTGTTAGGAGAGACGGCATCCATCCCACTTTGGATGGAGCAGCTCTCATTTCGAGAAATATGGACAAATTTATTAACCCCCCAAAATATGACTATCCAGAGTTGGGACCAGGAAGCAGAGTTGGAGTCTTACACGCCTCTCTGCAGCTTCTCTCCTCCTGCTACCCCCCAAAAACCCATCTCCATAGAGACTGTGTCAGCTCCCAAACAGACAAAAAACAAACTAAAAACCAGCAACAAACAACTTAAACATAAACAATCACAAAGAAAGAACAATACAGTATCCACATCTGAACCAAAGAGTAAAACAGTGAGATGTGGATTATTAAATACTAGGTCTCTCTCCTCCAAGTCTCTGTTAGTACATGACTTAATAATTGATCAACAAATCGATTTACTCTGCCTTACAGAAACCTGGTTGCAGCAGGATGATTATGTTAGTTTAAATGAATCAACACCCCCGAGTCATTCTAACTACCAGAAACCTCGAAGCACAGGCCGAGGGGGCGGTGTGGCAGCAATTTCTCACACCAGCCTATTAATTAATGAAAGACCCAGACAGACTTTTAATTCATTTGAAAGCCTGATGCTCAGCCTCGTCCACCCCAGCTGTGAAACTCAGAAACCAGTCTTACTTGTTATCTATCGTCCACCTGGGCCTTACACAGAGTTTCTGTCTGTCAGAGCTCAGCATGACTGCAGCAGTGTGAGATCATTCTGACAGACAACACAACAAAAGGCAGAAACAGCCAAAGAGCTTCGACTGTCCTTCAGGAAGTCTGGAGAACTGAAGATCCTCACAGAGCTGACAGAGAGCTGCTCACACCAAATATTCACTTTCAGGCTTGTTAGAAACTCAAACTTTATTGTTGAATGTCTGTTTGCACCTTATTATATCGCATTTTTATGTTTCCCTCGCTGTGACCCTGCTCATTCAAACTAAATAATTTTGTTATGAATATTAAAAAAAGGAATGTCCTGCTGTACACGCTGTTATTCAAGATGTAAGAAATATTTGCTTTGCTTTTATTTGTTTTTATTAGCACTATTTAAATCTAGGCACACACACACACACCTGTTTGGAAAGCTGGAGAGCCCACCCAGACACGAGGAGAACATCTAAACTTCACAACAAAATAAATACAGAGTTCATATTTTACTGGAGGTGTGAGATGTGTAGAAACTGATGATTGTAAAAGGAAGGTAACTGGATCAGCTGACCTGAGCTGTCACATGAGATCTGCTCAGCTTCCAGCTTCAGGCGTCATGTGAGTGTGGACATGGGGAAAACAGAGCTGCTGGTTGGGACACACCTCTCTGCCCACGGCCTGCTGGAGTCAGATCTCGGTGTGGAGTTACCGTCGTTCATTCACAGGGAATAAATGTTTATTGGCTGATTGAGCTGTGATGACAATCATAGGTGGGAAAGCTGGAAGCGTACGCGGGCCCGGAAAAGCTAAAGTGCTTAATGAGATGTCAGATTAGTTTCAATGAAACATCAGAAACATCGCATTAAACGAGCTGAAGTGTCATTAAAGGTTTCAGATAACTGCACAGTGAGCTCACGCTTCACTCTGAGGAAGCATGTCAGCGCACGAGGGACGACCAGAGACCCGCGCACGCCGCGGCGTGTTTGTGGGGACATTAGCAGCACATTTGAAATGTTTTCTTCTGTTATTTACCATCAATCAGGGTCAGAGACACCGAGGTGAAGCACTTCCTGCCTGTTTACACACGCACGACCACATCAGAAACAGAGTCAAACACGCCTTTGATGAGCGCACACACACAGGGATCAGCTCTGCATGAGTTTATTCAGATTTCAAAGCAGGAGGAAATGTTTTGAAGCAGCTGTGATCTGCTGTGGCAGCATGTAATTACACACACACAAGCCTGTGAGGGCGCAGTGTAACGCAGTGAGGCGTCTCTTCACACATTATTCTTCCTTTCACTGATTTGAGTTGAAATGTGAGGAAACGTTGAGGCTTAGCGTGTCAGAGTGAAGCTGTGGAGATGATTTCAGGTAAAAGGTGGAGCGAGCAGGCCGACCTCACCTTTGGCTTCGAGGTCCACACACGTCCTGAACCCGAGTCAGCAGCTTACAGTGACAGCATGTCCTCCTGCCTGAACTACAAAACATCTGAGCTGTCACTGATAACGCTGCTGCGTGTGAACTGCTGAGAGCTGCACAGACACTTCCTGTTTGCCTTTCCAGCTGATGGAGCGCCGCGTTCCTTTCAGGAGCAACAAGAAGTCAGGAAATGAAAGATAAGCATGAAAACACACACAGAGTTCTGTGAGCCTGACACTGTGATGGACAGGTAAGCACACACAGGTGAGCAGCTGCTCTCCAGGTTAGGGCAGCTTTTAATGGTGACACAGGTCAGAGGTCAGACACAGGTACAGTTTCAACACTTTGACTGCAGGTGGGAGGAAACACAAGAACAGCACACACAGATTCTGAAATTCACATCCAGATCGCTTCAACCACCATCGGCTGATTCTGATCGCTCACAGTAGCTTAGCATGAGTCAGAGTTAAACTAAACATCACTGATGAACTAAACCAACTAAATGATGATCAGGAAGTGCAAAGGTGACACGAAGGTGGCGTATAACGATGTGGACGTTTTGGCGAGCTTGTGCGCATCACTCCTCCGTCTCCTCCTCCTCGCTGTAGTCGCTCAGAGGAAACTCACGGCTCTCTGTGTTGTAGCTTTTCCTGTGCATCACACACTCCTGATCAATGATCGCCTGCAACACACACACACACACACACACACGATGCAGGAGTGAATACCAATCAATCTCACTGCACTCGTCTCCACCCGCTCCACCCTGCCTGCACTCTCTTCTCCACCCCTGAGCTTTATTTACCATTTTCTCTTCTCGGACAGCAGGGTTACGTAACAGGAAGCAGAGCGGCGCGTACAGGATGTTGATGACCCCGATGAACACCATGAGACAGGGAAAGCCCACGGCCTGGACCAGAGCGCCACCTGTGGATGGCCCTGGAACAACAGGAGGAGATTTTAATATCATCATTGGCTTTTTCCTTTCTGCTGTGCGAATGTGAGGTTGGTACCTATGGCGAAGCCCATGCACAGCGCCACGTCAGCGATGGCGTAGACGCTGCCGTAGACGGAGGCGTGGCGGATATCAACCAGGTAGCCCATAATGGCCATCATGGAGGAGTCCACCATACCTGAAGCACCACAGGACAGGTGAGAGGGTGTCACTGATTTCATGGTTTCAGTAAAAACACTGCAGATGTGCGGACCAAACATGCCGTTACACATTTCACACGTCACCTATCGCGAATCCCAGACCGCCGTTTGGTCCAATCAGGCCGTAGATACTGGTGGCAAAGGGAACCTGAAACACACACAGGGAACATCGCAGTTACATCACGCTTAACGCGAGGTGTGCTTCCTGACATGAAGGCTCTTTTCATCATGCTGATTGGTTGGATGACAGGAAGTGAGGGTTCTGTTGGCTTTCCCAGAACATGAACATCAGTTTTTATCCTGCTTAGATCAGGATCACAGGTGGTTCTCAGGCCTGTTCCAGGTGTACAGGTCAGAGCCGAGGTGATCATTCACACCTGTGATCCATTTAGAACCACTAATTATCCTAACAGGGAGGTCGTTGGGCTGTGGGAGGAAGCTGGTGGATTTGACCTCAGGACCTTCTTAAAGTGAGGTGATGGTGCTAACACTGCAGGGTGGGCTAGTTTGGGCAGCATCCTCGTCAGCACAGGTAACCTGGCTAATAAAGTAAAAGTGCGCTCAGGTGTGGATGGTAGAAACTGACTCGTCATCTATGAAAGCTCATGCTGCGTGCACGGTGGAAGACGAAGAGTTTACAGAGCACCCGATGGGAACATTCGAAGCTTTGAGGCTCTAATATGTAATCTGCTCTTCTCTGCATGCCAGCTTATTTTGGGAAACCAGGTTCCTGGGAGGCTCCCCGGGTTCAGACGGAGCATCAGGAGGAGCGCCTGCTCCCACTGCTGCACAGATCCACATTAACCAATGATGGACGGATGGGTTACTGTTTGGTGTTTGGGTGGATGAAAGGATCGATGACTGACAGATGATGATGAATCATAGGAAGATGGATAAACAAAGAGATGATGTCGTACTCACACACAGCAGACTGATGCCAACGATAAACATCCCTAGCATGGAGCACAGCCACCTGGAGACACACAAACAGACATCAGCCTCTTACAGCTGCTGGTTTACCAGAAAGCTTCAGCGTCAGGTCTGAACTGGATCTGAAGAGTTAATCTGCTAATCTGCTGATTTAGCCGCTGGACAGATTCCCAGGAAACGTGGTGTGGACCGAGGGATCTGTCAGCAGGATCGGATCAATGTAAAGCTTAAAAACCGGAGAAGTAAGCTTAATCTCTGAGGTGCTGATCAGCTCCGATATGGTTTTCCTTTGCCTCATTAATCCCTGTGAAACACTTTGAAACGCTCCTCTGAACAGAGCCGGGATAAAGTTTCTTATGATGAAAGTGTTTTATTGGAGCTGACACACGCTCTGCCAGGTCAGCTCTCACTCAGAGTCTGAAGGTGTCTAAGCACCAGGTCTGATACTTCACCCTGTGCAGAGGTTTCACGTCTCTGCAGACCGAGGCTGACCCCTGACCCTGAGAAACCCTCTCCTGTGGTCAGATGCAGAAGTACTCACCGTCCCATCTTATTGGCCAGAACACCAAACAGGTTTGTTCCTATCAGGTAGGACACGCTGGCAGGGAGGAAGGCAATACCTGCAACACAGCACACACCTGTTAGGGTCAACGTATGAGGTACAGTCACAAAGACCTTAGTTCTGCAACTGCTCCTCAAAGTCCTGGTAGCTCCTTTAATGTCTCCAACCAGCGAGTCCTCAACTGGATATCTGCTGAGTGGATGTGAGGGAAGTCACGGAGAGACCGAGCTGAGACAGACTGGTGCTGAGGGAAGATGGTGCTGGTTCTTCAGGCCAGCTCAGGCTGTTTCTCACGAATGACGTCAAAGTCTGCGCTGAACGTCTCACCCCGGGGGCGACTTCACGGAGAACGACCTCAATGACCGCAGAACACACTGAGGAGCACACTCGGTGTGGCCTTCATGTTGGAAACTCCTGGGTCACCTTCAGAAAACCTCATTTTTGAGCTTCTGTGGTGAAGTCAGAGCAGAAACAGCCGGGCTGGATGTCCAGTGAAAAGCATCTGCGCCCGGCCGACCCTCACAGTGACCCGAGCCGTGACCCACCATCAGAATCAACTGTGACGGCAGCAGCTCGGGGAAAAGCGTTACAGCGTCGGCACAAACGGACCCGAGCAGAAAAACGTACCCAGCTGCCATTTCGGGGAGCACATCGTCTGCATCATCCAGATGGGCAGAGTGGGCTCCAGGATGGCCACGCCCATGTTGGCGAAGCACAGAGACCCTGCAGACGCACACAGAGATTTACACGAGTCACAACACGATCAGGACTTTCACACCTGCTGCTGCTCCTTCATGCGCAGACGTGGAGCAGAAACAAATGTTAATGTGAACATTTGCTCGTACCTGCAGACGTTCAGTTTTTACTAAACAAACCTGGTGAAGTCGCCTCACCTGCACTGACGAGGATGTACGGATCCTTCAGCAGGGTGAGTAACGGCGTTCCCTCCACACTCTGAAACCATAAAACCACGAGCTGAAGCTGGACAACATGCAGAACCAACGAGAACCCAGAACAGCTGCGATTCAAACAGGCACAGAAGAACCGTCGGCTCTTTAAACAGATGTTTTTGATCCGTATAATTGCTTCAGATTAGTTCAGAAACCGGCCGACATGTTTTATTTTGAAAAATTTAAGTCACTGAAAATTTTAATCAGTGGAAAATTTCTTAATGTTTGTCAGATTTCATCACAAAGTTTTTGTTTCATTTGTTTCTGGGTTTGTTTGGGGTTTTTTCCCCCAGTTTTTGCCTTTTATTTGTTTCAGTTTTGAAATAAAAACGCGACACTGAAACCAGGAAAAAGTCAAACATGTTTATGTCTGATGTTCAGTCATCCAGATAAGGATCCCAAAACATTGATTCTGTTCATCTGGATGTAACGCTACATCCAGATGAACAGAATCAATGTTTTGGGATCAAATTTTTTTTTACTGTCCTTATAATTTCAGAACATCTAGATTAACGTGCATGAAACATGTTGATCTAGAAGAGTTCAGTTTCCTCCTTTTACTTTTTCCCACTGGTTCCAGACGTTTTCCCCAATTTTCTCCACTTTTGGCTCAAACTTTGACAGTTTTTTAATGGTTCCCAGCTTACTCTGTGTCTGTGATTCCTTCTTCCTGATGGCGCTGTTAGGAGGAACACATCGTTACACTGACTCATCATCTGATAATGAAGCTCTGAATTATTTCAATCAATAATAAGATGTTAAAGTTTGATTATTTTAATGCATCTCATATTTACATTTGACCTTCGCGATTGAACAATGGGACATTCGACACGATAAACAGATGAGAGGATTTCAAAGTGGACTCACCCCAGGAGAGATCTTTGAAGGCTGCAGGATGCACAACTGCAACGCTGCAACACACACACATAAAATCTGGAGTGATGCTGGCGACCTTGGTTGGTCTAAACAAAGCCGTGGTCACCGTGACGTCAGCTGGACATTTGTGAACTTTGAACTGCAGCTCATCATCCTGTTTACTTCAATTTGGTCTCGAAGGGGATCATATTTTATGAAAAGGGCACCACGCTGTGTTTAATGTGTTTGATTTAATGTGCTGAAAAAGCTGCAGTTCCTCTAACGGCCACACGAGGGCGGCTCCGGTAAATCAGGATGACGACGGCATTAAAACAAAAAAAAAAAGCTAAACGTGCTGACGCCACAGGGGCTCCACCCATCATCATCATCATCCTGCATTAGGACCAGCCTCGTCTCCAGGTTTACCTCCATCGAACACAGCCAGGAAGGCCAGGATCAGGAAGGGGGCGCTCTTCCCCACAAAGTCATACATCACGCTGCCGAAAGGCGCTCCGACTGAAACACAACACACAAACTATATGAAGAGCTAAAACAACAGCATCATGTAAACCTGACAAATCAACATTCAGTGAACATCCAGTTCACTTGTGCAGCAGTGACACTCGGCTGTGGACCAATCAGCTGCGCCCAGACCCTTTGGGGAAGCAGTTAGTTTATGGCGTGAACGTGATGCAACCTGGATCAGACACAGGTACCAGGTGTATGCTGCAAGTCTGAGCTAAGCTGCTTCCTGTAGCCAGGTGTGCTTCATATTCTGGGAGAGTGGACAAACAGCGAGCTGTGAAACTAAACTCTCCAGGTGGGCGACTCGTTCATACACCACTTCTGTCGCCGCGGCCAATCGGCAGACTGAACGTTCTCGCGTGGTTTGTAGCGACACTTTTTTTGAGTTTGTGACTCACTCAGGACTCCCATAGCCAGTCCTCCCAGTGCCACGCCCATCGCGATGCCTCTCTCCTCATCATCCGTGTACACGCTGGCCAGCATGCCCAGACCTGCATGACACGAAGACATGATGTCATCATCCAGCACCTGAACACGAACGCATCTGTTCACACCTTTAGATCAGGCCACATTTAACAGTTTAGTCACATGACCGCAAGAGGTTGCTTCACTTAACATATGGGTGAGAGTACAGGTGAGACTACAGGTGTATGTACAGGTGCTGTTAAACACTGTCTGCTGCTTCAGGTGTTCTGTGCCGACCTGCCACTGAAGAGAAGGACGAGCCGATCCCCTGCAGAGAGCGAGCGACGAACAGCAGAGCGTACGTCCCTGAGAAGGCAAACACTGACAGAGACACACAGGATCACACACTTCAGAGAAAACACACCTGTGTGTGTGTGTGTGTGTGT